CAGGACGGGAAGGTCCGTGCGAAAGCGCCTCTCCAGCTGGAGACGGGTAGCGCGGATCCAAGGGATCAAGACAGCAGGGACCTCTCCCTTGGTGCGCAAGGGGAAGACCGTGGTGTAACGCGCGTAGTCGTCAACTACCAGCACAAAGTAGCGCTCTCCGCCCTGTCCACGGACGCGGGCTGGGCCCCACACGTCCATGTGCAGGGTCTGCAGAGGAGCCTCCGTCGGGGGGAACTCAGAGGAGTGAGGGGTGGCACGCTGCCGCCCCTCGACACAGGGAAGGCAGGGAGGGGCAGGGGACGGTGGCAGGGGAGGCAGTGACCTGGGGAGACCAGAGACAAGGAAACGGGAGTGCATGCTACGAAGGCGCTGCATCGAAGGGTGACCAAGGCGGTGGTGCCAGAGGACCGTCCGGTGCGACAGGGTGCGACACGAGCAGGGGGCGGACAACTGACCCGACGCAGACGCAAACGCAGCTACCTGAGGGGACTCAGTGGTCAGTGTGTACAAGTCCGACCCCGGCTGCCGAGTGAAGGTAGCCAGGTGACGACCCGTCTGAGCACACGTGCAGTGTGTCACACGCTCGTAGGCAGGGGTGAACTGGTGAACACCCGCGTCCTGGAGCGCGGAACCCGCCACCAAGTTCGTAGAGAACGAGGGGAGGTAAAGACCCGACAGTGTGCCGGACGGGACAGCAGGACAAGGGAGGGCAGTGGTGGAGGTCGTAAGGACCGGACCCGCGGAGGGGTCAGCCAGGGAGACAGCAACAGGCCTAGGGAGCTGCGCTAGGGCAGTGCGGTCGCGAAAGAAACAGCGGGAAGCACCTGAGTCCAGTGTGAAGGTGTGCAGTGCCTCAGTAGACGCAGTACCTGAAGGCGCAGACTCACGAGCACCTGAAGCAGCAGACACACCAGCACCTAGAGCAGCAGCCTCACCAGGACCTGGGGCAGCAGACGCACTAGCACCTAGAGCGGCAGCCTCACTGGTCGCAATGACTGGGTCTGGCGGGACACACAAGTAACAGTCACCCTCAACACTAATAGTCAATGCATATATGGCTCCAAGGATAACATCAAAGTCAAGTGCAAAGATATCAATGTTCTTTTTAAGCAGATCAGCCCAGCGGGGCAACTCAGAGGCGTCAGGGAACTGTGCACGCCAGGCGTCGTCAAGACGGGAGAAGCAGCGCTGCGGCGTGTGGGACCTCCCACACGACTGACCAGCGCGGTCACCTGCGCGGATGACATACGTGCAGGTACCTCCACCCCCAGACCCCCCATGCTGAGAGTACCACTCACGAAGCTGCTGGGGCGACGGGGTCTCTCCGAGACGCTGCTGCTGGCACTGGACACCACCCGAACCTCCACGCTGCGCTGGTCCACCCTGACCACCACCCCAGCCGCCGCCACCACGCCCACTGCCGCCACCACCACCGCCTCCACCCCGGCCTCCTCCACCACCACTGCCGCCACCACCCCCGCCGCTGCCACTGACCCCCCCAGCCCCGCCACCACCCCCACCACCGCCACCACCCCCACCGCCCCCACCGCCTCCACCTCCACCTCCACCTCCCCCGCTGGCATTGCCACCACCCTTGCCCCCCTTGCCCTTGCCGCCCTTGCGCCTCCAACTAGGAGCAGACGCAGCCCCGACTTCCTCAGCACCAAGGTAGTCGACAGCGCAGCAGAGGCGACCGAGGGGAGAAGGGGGGGAGGGGAACACCCGTCAAAGAAGGGCGTGCGGGGGTCGCCACGAGAGGCAACTACAGCAACTATGCTAGCCTCAGCTGCAAGCAGATGCTTCTCGAGCAGGTCAACGGTGAGCTCGGTGTTGCAGAGGGCGAGAAAGTGGTCCCTGACTGCGCGAAGAGAGTCAGGGAGACGGGTGACTAGGTGGTAGAGAACGAGGTACATCGGGGGGGGATTCTTGGCGAGGAACTCAGCAGGAAGGGCGGCTCGGTAGCGAGTGTCACTAGTGCGGAGGTGTGTAATGAGGTCAGCGACTGTGGGAAAGGCGACGAGATCGGGGAAAAGATAGGGCAGCGAGAGACGGCCGATCGTAGCAGAGGCAGGCGAGGAGTAGCGGGCGACTACTACATCGTACAGTGCCTTAGCAGTCTTGTGCTGGCCAAAGTGCGCGAGCTCATTTAACGGCAGGTGACAACGAATGGCTAGGCGAGCGTGGGCATCACGAGTCTGCCACTGGGAGCGAGCTGTACTGTCAGCAGTCTCAGCAGGTGCTAGAGCGGTTCCGGACGCGTGGTCATACAGCGAGACATCGTCCTTAGCGGTGATCTGTAGGAACAGGTGCAGGTCGTCGAGCCAAGCATCAAACTGGAGCGGACGGCCCTCAGCATCGAAAGAGAGAATGGTGGGACTAGCCATAGTGGCAGCAGTAGCAGTAGGAACAGAAGCAGTAGGAACAGCAGGAACAGCAGTAGCAGTAGGGCAGCGCGGCTCGGACAGGGCGGCGCGGCTCGGCTTGGTTAGGGCAGCGCGGCGCGGCTCGGACAGGGCTACGCGGCGCAGCTCGGACGGGCAGGGCGGCGCGACGGCTGGCCTGCGCTTAGGCTGCTGTGGCGCACGGGCCGCGGCTGCGCGTGGGCTGCAGTTGCGCGCGGGCAGCGGCCTTCGCGCGGGCGGCGGCCTACGAATGCGGGGCGGCGGCCTACGTGCGGGGCTGCGGCGCGCTGGACGGCCAGCAGGGTGGGTCGACGGGCGGCTAACGGGCTGCGCGTCGGCGGTGCTGGTCGCGCGGGCGGCTAACGGTCGACGCGCGCGAGAAACGGGCCGCGTGCGGGCGGCTAGCGGGCTGCGCGCGCTAAAAAACGGGCCGCGCGCGGGCGGCTAGCGGGCTGCGCACGGGCAGCGTGAGAGAGAGAGGCGCACGAGGGCGCACTAGCAGAGAGGCGCACGAGGGCGCACTAGCAGAGAGGCGCACGAGGGCGCAAAGGCGGTAGGGCGCTTGAGGGCGCTTCTAGCGGAACGGTGGGCCCTTAGGACTAAGCGGTCCTAGGTTCCTAACCTAGGCTCTGATACCATGTCAGAATGAACAAGAGTGGTTGCACTAGGAAAGAGGAGGGTACAAGTAGGAAAACCTAAACTGACTGTACCCCATAGTAACTACCCCACTACAGCCTAAACAAACTGTAGCAGATATAACATTTGACAGACAAATGGTAACGAAGCGCATGGATCCCTATAGGCGTAGGGAAAAGCATCGAATGACCTGAATGTTGTTGCATATTTGGATGGCCCTTGCTCAAATACACCTACCAGAGCAAGTTTAGCTTTGTTTGTGCGCACCAAAAATTTCGGCGCCTACGATGACGCCTGTGTCTGCCGAAAAATGGTAGCGAAGCGCATGGATCCCTATAGGCGTAGGGAAAAGCATCAAATGACCTGAATGTTGTTGCATGTTCGGGTGGCCCTTGCTCAAATACACCTACCAGAGCAAGTTTAGCTTTGTTTGTGCGCACCAAAAAGTTCGGCGCCTGCGATGACGGCTATGTCTGCCGTCAAATGGTAACGAAGCGCATGGATCCCTATAGGCGTAGGGAAAAGCATCGAATGACCTAAATGTTGTTGCATATTCGGGTGGCCCATGCTCAAATACACCTACCAGAGCAATTCCAGCTTGGTTCGTGCGCACCAAAAAGTTCGGCGCCTGCGATGATGGCTGTGTTTGCCGACAAATGGTAACGTTGCTCATGGATCTCTATAGGCGTAGGGAAAAACATCGAATGACCTGAATGTTGTTGCATATTTGGGTGCCCCTTTCTCAAATACACCTACCAGAGCAAGTTTAGCTTTGTTTGTGCGCACCAAAAATTTCGGCGCCTGCGATGACGGCTGTGTCTGCCGACAAATGGTAACAAAGTGCATGGATCCCTATAGGCGTAGGGAAAAGCATCGAATGACCTGAATGTCGTTGCATATTCGTGTGGCCCAAGCTCAAATACACCTACCAGAGCAAGTTTAGCTTTGTTTGTGCGCACCAAAAATTTCGACGCCTGCGATGACGGCTGTGTCTGCCGACAGATGGTAACAAAGCGCATGGATCCCTATAGGCATAGGGAAAAGCATCAAATGACCTGAATGTTGTTGCATGTGCGGGTGGCCCATGCTCAAATACACCTACCAGAGCAAGTTCAGCTTTGTTTGTGCGCACCAAAAAGTTCGGCGCCTGCGATGACGGCTGTGTCTGCCGACAAATGGTAACGAAGCGCATGGATCCCTATAGGCGTAGGGAAAAGCATCCAATGACCTAAATGATGTTGCATATTTGGGTGGCCCATGCTCAAATACACCTACCAGAGCAAGTTCAGCTTTGTTTGTGCGCACCAAAAAGTTCGGCGCCTGCGATGACGGCTGTGTCTGCCGACAAATGGGAACGCAGCCCATGGATCCCTATAGGTGTAGAGAAAAGCATCGAATGACCTGAATGTTGTTGCATATCTGGGTGGCCCATGCTCAAATACACCTACCAGAGCAAGTTCAGCTTTGTTTGTGCGCACCAAAAAGTTTGGCGCCTGCGATGATGGCTGTGTCTGCCGACAAATGGTAACGAAGCGCATGGATCCCTATAGGCGTAGGGAAAAGCATTGAATGACCTAAATGTTGTTGCATATTCGGGTGGCCCATGCTCAAATACACCTACCAGAGCAATTCCAGCTTGGTTCGTGCGCACCCAAAAGTTCGGCGCCTGCGATGACGGCTGTGTCTGCCGACAAATGGTAACGAAGCGCTTGAATCCCTATAGGCGTAGGGAAAAGCATCGAATGATCTGAATGTTTTTGCATGTTCGGGTGGCCCTAGCTCAAATACACCTACCAGAGCAAGTTCAGCTTTGTTTGTGCGCACCAAAAAGTTCGACGCCTGCGATGACGGCTGTGTCTGCCGACAAATGGTAACGAAGCGCATGGATCCCTATAGGCGTAGGGAAAGCATCGAATCACCTGAATGTTGTTGCATATTCGGGTGGCCCAAGCTCAAATACACCTACCAGAGAAAGTTCAGCTTTGTTTGTGTGCACCAAAATGTTCGGCGCCTGCGATGACGGCTGTGGGGAATGGGGAAAGAAGGAGAATGGGGCGGGGTGATGGAAAGCGGGAGAATGGGGCGGAGTGATGGAAAGCGGGAGAATGGGGCGGGGTGATGGAAAGCAGGAGAATGGGGCGGGGTGATGGAAAGAGGGAGAATGGGGCAGGGTGATGGAAAGAGGGAGAGTGGGGTGGGGCGACGGAAAGAGGGAGAACGGGGCGGGGTGATGGAAAGAGGGAGAATGGGGTGGGGCGATGGAAAGAGGGAGAATGGGGTGGGGCGATGGAAAGAGGGAGAATGGGGCGGGGTGATGGAAAGAGGGGGAATGGGGCGGGGTGATGGAAAGAGGGAGAATGGGGCGGGGTGATTGAAAGAGGGAGAATGGGGCGGAGTGATGGAAAGCGGGAGAATGGGGCTGGGTGATTTAACGAGGGAGAATGAGGCGGGGTGATGGAAAGCGGGAGAATGGGGCGGGGTGACCGAAAGCGGGAGAATGGGGCGGGGTGATGGAAAGCGGGAGTATGGGGCGGGTTGATGGAAAGAGGGAGAATAGGGCGGGGTGATGGAAAGAGGGAGAATGGGGCGGGGTGATGGAAAGCGGAAAAATGGGGCGGGGTGATGGAAAGCGGGAGAATGGGGCGGGGTGATGGAAAGCGGGAGAATGGGGCGGGGTGATGGAAAGAGGGGGAGTGGGGGGAAGTGATGGAAAGAGGTAGATTGGGGCGGAGTGATGGAAAGAGGGAAATGGGATTGGGTGATGGAAAGAGGGAGAATGGGGCTGGGTGATGGAAAGCAGGAGAATGGGGCAGGGTGATGGAAAGCGGGAGAATGGGGCAAAGTGATGGAAAGAGGGAGAATGGGGCGGGGTGATGGAAAGAGGGAGAATGGGGCGGGGTGATGGAAAGCGGGAGAATGGGCCGGGGTGATGGAAAGCGGGAGAATGGGCGGGGTGATGGAAAGCGGGGGAATGGGGCGGGGTGATGGAAAGCGGGAGAATTGGGTGGGGTGATGGAAAGAGGGAGAATGGGGCGGGGTGATGGAAAGAGGGAGAATGGTGCGGGGTGATGGAAAGCGGGAGAATGGGGCGGGGTGATGGAAAGCGGGAGAATGGGGCTGGGTGATGGAAAGCGGGAGAATGGGGCGGGGTGATGGAAAGCGGGAGAATGGGGCGGGGTGATGGAAAGCGGGAGAATGGGCGGGGTGATGGAAAGCGGGGGAATGGGGCGGGGTGATGGAAAGCGGGAGAATGGGGCGGGGTGATGGAAAGAGAGAGAATAGGGCGGGGTGATGGAAAGAGGGAGAATGGGGTGGGGTGATGGAAAGCGGGAGAATGGGGCGGGGTGATGGAAAGCGGGAGAATGGGGCGGGGTGATGGAAAGCGGGAGAATGGGGCGTGGTGATGGAAAGCGGGAGGATGGGGCGGGGTGATGGAAAGAGGGAGAGTGGGGCAGGGCGACGGAAAGAGGGAGAACGGGGCGGGGTGATGGAAAGAGGGAGAATGGGGCGGGGTGATGGAAAGCGGGAGAATGGGGAGGGGTGATGGAAAGCGGGAGAATGGGGCGAAGTGATGGAAAGAGGGAGAACGGGGCGGGGTGATGGAAAGAGAGAGAATGGGGCGGGGTGATGGAAAGCGGGAGAATGGGACGGGGTGATGGAAAGCGGAAGAGTGGGGCGGGGTGATGGAAAGCGGGAGAATGGGGCGAGGTGATGGAAAGCGGGAGAATGGGAGGGGTGATGGAAAGCGGGGGAATGGGGCGGGGTGATGGAAAGCGGGAGAATGGGGCGGGGTGATGGAAAGCGGGAGAATGGGGCGGGGTGATGGAAAGAGGGAGAATGGGGCGGGGTGATGGAAAGCGGGAGAATGGGGCGGGGTGATGGAAAGCGGGAGAATGGGGCGGGGTGATGTAAAGCGGGAGAATGGGGCGGGGTGATGGAAAGCGGGAGAATGGGGCGGGGTGATGGAAAGCGGGAGAATGGGGCGGGGTGATGGAAAGAGGGAGAGTGGGGCGGGGTGATGGAAAGAGGGAGAATGGGGCGGGGTGATGGAAAGAGGGAGAACGGGGCGGGGTGATGGAAAGCGGAAGAATGGGGCGGGGTGATGGAAAGCGGGAGAATGGGACGAGGTGATGGAAAGCGGGAGAATGGGCGGGGCGACGGAAAGAGGGAGAACGGGGCGGGGTGATGGAAAGAGGGAGAATGGGGCGGGGTGATGGAAAACGGGAGAATGGGGCGGGGTGATGGAAAGCGGGAGAATGGGGCGAAGTGATGTAAAGAGGGAGAACGGGGCGGGGTGATGGAAAGAGGGAGAACGGGGCGGGGTGATGGAAAGCGGGAGAATGGGGCGGGGTGATGGAAAGCGGAAGAATGGGGCGGGGTGATGGAAAGCGGGAGAATGGGACGAGGTGATGGAAAGCGGGAGAATGGGCGGGGTGATGGAAAGCGGGGGAATGTGGCGGGGTGATGGAAAGCGGGAGAATGGGGCGGGGTGATGGAAAGCGGGAGAATGGGGCGGGGTGATGGAAAGCGGAAGAATGGGGCGGGGTGATGGAAAGCGGGAGAATGGGGCGGGGTGATGGAAAGCGGGGGAATGGGGCGGGGTGATGGAAAGAGGGAGAATGGGGCGGGGTGATGGAAAGAGGGAGAATGGGGTGGGGTGATGGAAAGAGGGAGAATGGGGCGGGGTGATGGAAAGCCGGAGAATGGGGCTAAGTGATGGAAAGCGGGAGAATGGGGCGGGGTGATGGAAAGAGGGAGAATGGGGCGGGGTGATGGAAAGAGGGAGAATTGGGCGGGGTGATGGAAAGCGGGAGAATGGGGCGGGGTGATGGAAAGCGGGAGAATGGGGCGGGGTGATGGAAAGCGGGAGAATGGGGCGGGGCGATGGAATGCGGGAGAATGGGGCGGGGTGATGGAAAGCGGGAGAATGGGGCGGGGTGATGGAAAGCGGGTGAATGGGGCGGGGTGATGGAAAGTGGGAGAATGGGGCGGGATGATGGAAAGCGGGAGAATGGGGCAGAGTGATGGAAAGCGGGAGAATGGGGCGGGGTGATGGAAAGAGGGAGAATGGGGCGGGGTGATGGAAAGCGGGAGAATGGGGTGGGGCGATGGAAAGCGGGAGAATGGGGCGGGGTGATGGAAAGCGGGAGAATGGGGCGGGGTGATGGAAAGCGGGAGAATGGGGCGGGGTGATAGAAAGAGGGAGAATGGGGCGGGGTGATGGAAAGAGGGAGAATGGGGCGGGGTGATGGAAAGCGGGAGAATGGGGGGGATGGAAAGCGGGAGAATGGGGCGGGGTGATGGAAAGCGGGAGAATGGGGCGGGGTGATGGAAAGCGGGAAAATGGGGCGGGGTGATGGAAAGTGGGAGAATGGGGCGGGGTGATGGAAAGCGGGAGAATGGGGCGGGGTGATGGAAAGCGGGAGAATGGGGCGGGGTGATGGAAAGCGGGAGAATGGGGCGGGGTGATGGAAAGCGGGAGAATGGGGCGGGGTGATGGAAAATTGGAGAATGAAGCGGGGCGATGGAAAGCGGGAGAATGGGGCGGGGTGATGGAAAGCGGGAGAATGGGGCGGGGCGATGGAATGCGGGAGAATGGGGCGGGGCGATGGAAAATTGGAGAATGGGGCGGGGCGATGGAAAGCGGGAGAATGGGGCGGGGTGATGGAAAGCGGGAGAATGGGGCGAGGTGATGGAAAGAGGGAGAATGGGGCGGGGTGATGGAAAGCGGGAGAATGGGGCGGGGTGATGGAAAGAGGGAGAATGGGGCGGGGTGATGGAAAGCCGGAGAATGGGGCTGGGTGATGGAAAGCGGGAGAATGGGGCGGGGTGATGGAAAGAGGGAGAATGGGGCGGGGTGATGGAAAGAGGGAGAATTGGGCGGGGTGATGGAAAGCGGGAGAATGGGGCGGGGTGATGGAAAGCGGGAGAATGGGGCGGGGTGATGGAAAGCGGGAGAATGGGGCGGGGCGATGGAATGCGGGAGAATGGGGCGGGGTGATGGAAAGCGGGAAAATGGGGCGGGGTGATGGAAAGTGGGAGAATGGGGCGGGGTGATGGAAAGCGGGAGAATGGGGCGGGGTGATGGAAAGCGGGAGAATGGGGCGGGGTGATGGAAAGCGGGAGAATGGGGCGGGGTGATGGAAAGCGGGAGAATGGGGCGGGGTGATGGAAAATTGGAGAATGAAGCGGGGCGATGGAAAGCGGGAGAATGGGGCGGGGTGATGGAAAGCGGGAGAATGGGGCGGGGCGATGGAATGCGGGAGAATGGGGCGGGGCGATGGAAAATTGGAGAATGGGGCGGGGCGATGGAAAGCGGGAGAATGGGGCGGGGTGATGGAAAGCGGGAGAATGGGGCGGGGTGATGGAAAGAGGGAGAATGGGGCGGGGTGATGGAAAGCGGGAGAATGGGGCGGGGTGATGGAAAGCGGGAGAATGGGGTGGGGTTATGGAAAGCGGGAGAATGGGGCGGGGTGATGGAAAGCGGGAGAATGGGGCGGGGTGATGGAGATGGAAAGTGGGAGAATGGGGTGGGGTGATGGAAAGCGGGAAAATGGGGCGGGGTGATGGAAAGCGGGAGAATGGGGCGGGGTGATGGAAAGCGGGAGAATGGAGCGGGGTGATGGAAAGCGGGAGAATGGGGCGGGGTGATGGAAAGCGGAAGAATGGGGCGGGGCGATGGAATGCGGGAGAATGGGGCGGGGCGATGGAAAACTGGAAAATGGGGCGGGGCGATGAAAAGCGGGAGAATGGGGCGGGGTGATGGAAAGCAGGAGAATGGGGCGGGGTGATGGAAAGAGGGAGAATGGGGCTGGGTGATGGAAAGAGGGAGAATGGGGTGGGGTGATGGAGAGAGGGAGAATGGGGCTGGGTGATGGAAAGCGGGAGAATGGGGCGGGGTGATGGAAAGCGGGAGAATGGGGCGGGGTGATGGAAAGAGGGAGAATGGGGCGGGGTGATGGAAAGCGGGAGAATGGGGCGGGGTGATGGAAAGCGGGAGAATGGGGTGGGGTGATGGAAAGCGGGAGAATGGGGCGGGGTGATGGAAAGTGGGAGAATGGGGCGGGGTGATGGAAAGCGGGAGAGTGGGGCGGGGTGATGGAAAGCGGGAGAATGGGGCGGGGTGATGGAAAGCGGGAGAACGGGGCGGGGTGATGGAAAGCGGGAGAATGGGGCGGGCTGATGGAAAGCGGGAGAATGGGGCGGGGTGATGGAAAGCGGGAGAATGGGGGGGATGGAAAGCGGGTGAATGGGGCGGGGTGATGGAAAGCGGGAGAATGGGGCGGGGTGATGGAAAGCGGGAACATGGGGCGGGGTGATGGAAAGCGGGAGAATAGGGCGGGGTGATGGAAAGCGGGAGAATGGAGCGGGGTGATGGAAAGCGGGAGAATGGGGCGGGGTGATGGAAAGCGGAAGAATGGGGCGGGGCGATGGAATGCGGGAGAATGGGGCGGGGCGATGGAAAACTGGAAAATGGGGCGGGGCGATGGAAAGCGGGAGAATGGGGCGGGGTGATGTAAAGCGGGAGAATGGGGCGGGGTGATGGAAAGAGGGAGAATGGGGCGGGGTGATGGAAAGAGGGAGAATGGGGCGGGGTGATTGAAAGAGGGAGAATGGGGCTGGGTGATGGAAAGCGGGAGAATGGGGCTGGGTGATGGAAAGCGGGAGAATGCGGCGGGGTGATGGAAAGAGGGAGAATGGGGCGGGGTGATGGAAAGCGGGAGAATGGGGCGGGTTGATGGAAAGCGGGAGAATGGGGCGGGGTGATGGAAAGCGGGAGAATGGGGCGGGGTGATGGAAAGCGGGAGAATGGGGCGGGTGGATGGAAAGCGAGAGAACGGGGCGGGGTGATGGAAAGCGGGAGAACGGGGCGGGGTGATGGAAAGCGGGAGAACGGGGTGGGGTGATGGAAAGCGGGAGAATGGGGCGGGGTGATGGAACGCGGGAGAATCGGGCGGGGTGATGGAAAGCGGGAGAATGGGGGGGATGGAAAGCGGGTGAATCGGGCGGGGTGATGGAAAGCGGGAGAATGGGGCGGGGTGATGGAAAGCGGGGGAATGGGGCGGGGTGATGGAAAGCGGGAGAATGGGCAGGGGTGATGGAAAGCGGGAGAATGGGGCGGGGTGATGGAAAGCGGGAGAATGGGGCGGGGTGATGGAAAGCGGGAGAATGGGGCGGGGTGATGGAAAGCGGGAGAATGGGGCGGGGTGATGGAAAGCGGGAGAACGGGGCGGGGTGATGGAAAGCGGGAGAATGGGGCGGGGTGATGGAAAGCGGGAGAATGGGGTGGGGTGATGGAAAGCGGGAGAATGGGGCGGGGTGATGGAAAGTGGGAGAATGGGGCGGGGTGATGGAAAGCGGGAGAGTGGGGCGGGGTGATGGAAAGCGGGAGAATGGGGCGGGGTGATGGAAAGCGGGAGAACGGGGCGGGGTGATGGAAAGCGGGAGAATGGGGCGGGCTGATGGAAAGCGGGAGAATGGGGCGGGGTGATGGAAAGCGGGAGAATGGGGGGGATGGAAAGCGGGTGAATGGGGCGGGGTGATGGAAAGCGGGAGAATGGGGCGGGGTGATGGAAAGCGGGAACATGGGGCGGGGTGATGGAAAGCGGGAGAATGGGGCGGGGTGATGGAAAGCGGGAGAATGGAGCGGGGTGATGGAAAGCGGGAGAATGGGGCGGGGTGATGGAAAGCGGAAGAATGGGGCGGGGCGATGGAATGCGGGAGAATGGGGCGGGGCGATGGAAAACTGGAAAATGGGGCGGGGCGATGGAAAGCGGGAGAATGGGGCGGGGTGATGTAAAGCGGGAGAATGGGGCGGGGTGATGGAAAGAGGGAGAATGGGGCGGGGTGATGGAAAGAGGGAGAATGGGGCGGGGTGATTGAAAGAGGGAGAATGGGGCTGGGTGATGGAAAGCGGGAGAATGGGGCTGGGTGATGGAAAGCGGGAGAATGGGGCGGGGTGATGGAAAGCGGGAGAACGGGGCGGGGTGATGGAAAGCGGGAGAATGGGGCGGGCTGATGGAAAGCGGGAGAATGGGGCGGGGTGATGGAAAGCGGGAGAATGGGGGGGATGGAAAGCGGGTGAATGGGGCGGGGTGATGGAAAGCGGGAGAATGGGGCGGGGTGATGGAAAGCGGGAACATGGGGCGGGGTGATGGAAAGCGGGAGAATGGGGCGGGGTGATGGAAAGCGGGAGAATGGAGCGGGGTGATGGAAAGCGGGAGAATGGGGCGGGGTGATGGAAAGCGGAAGAATGGGGCGGGGCGATGGAATGCGGGAGAATGGGGCGGGGCGATGGAAAACTGGAAAATGGGGCGGGGCGATGGAAAGCGGGAGAATGGGGCGGGGTGATGTAAAGCGGGAGAATGGGGCGGGGTGATGGAAAGAGGGAGAATGGGGCGGGGTGATGGAAAGAGGGAGAATGGGGCGGGGTGATTGAAAGAGGGAGAATGGGGCTGGGTGATGGAAAGCGGGAGAATGGGGCTGGGTGATGGAAAGCGGGAGAATGCGGCGGGGTGATGGAAAGAGGGAGAATGGGGCGGGGTGATGGAAAGCGGGAGAATGGGGCGGGTTGATGGAAAGCGGGAGAATGGGGCGGGGTGATGGAAAGCGGGAGAATGGGGCGGGGTGATGGAAAGCGGGAGAATGGGGCGGGTGGATGGAAAGCGAGAGAACGGGGCGGGGTGATGGAAAGCGGGAGAACGGGGCGGGGTGATGGAAAGCGGGAGAACGGGGTGGGGTGATGGAAAGCGGGAGAATGGGGCGGGGTGATGGAACGCGGGAGAATCGGGCGGGGTGATGGAAAGCGGGAGAATGGGGGGGATGGAAAGCGGGTGAATCGGGCGGGGTGATGGAAAGCGGGAGAATGGGGCGGGGTGATGGAAAGCGGGGGAATGGGGCGGGGTGATGGAAAGCGGGAGAATGGGCAGGGGTGATGGAAAGCGGGAGAATGGGGCGGGGTGATGGAAAGCGGGAGAATGGGGCGGGGTGATGGAAAGCGGGAGAATGGGGCGGGGTGATGGAAAGCGGGAGAATGGGGCGGGGTGATGGAAAGCGGGAGAACGGGGCGGGGTGATGGAAAGCGGGAGAATGGGGCGGGCTGATGGAAAGCGGGAGAATGGGGCGGGGTGATGGAAAGCGGGAGAATGGGGGGGATGGAAAGCGGGTGAATGGGGCGGGGTGATGGAAAGCGGGAGAATGGGGCGGGGTGATGGAAAACGGGAAAATGGGGCGGGGTGATGGAAAGCGGGAGAATGGGGCGGGGTGATGGAAAGCGGGAGAATGGAGCGGGGTGATGGAAAGCGGGAGAATGGGGCGGGGTGATGGAAAGCGGAAGAATGGGGCGGGGCGATGGAATGCGGGAGAATGGGGCGGGGCGATGGAAAACTGGAAAATGGGGCGGGGCGATGGAAAGCGGGAGAATGGGGCGGGGTGATGGAAAGCGGGAGAATGGGGCGGGGTGATGGAAAGAGGGAGAATGGGGCTGGGTGATGGAAAGAGGGAGAATGGGGTGGGGTGATGGAAAAAGGGAGAATGGGGCGGGGTGATGGAAAGAGGGAGAATGGGGCGGGGTGATTGAAAGAGGGAGAATGGGGCTGGGTGATGGAAAGCGGGAGAATGGGGCTGGGTGATGGAAAGCGGGAGAATGCGGCGGGGTGATGGAAAGAGGGAGAATGGGGCGGGGTGATGGAAAGCGGGAGAATGGGGCGGGGTGATGGAAAGCGGGAGAATGGGGCGGGGTGATGGAAAGCGGGAGAATGGGGCGGGGTGATGGAAAGCGGGAGAATGGGGCGGGTGGATGGAAAGCGAGAGAACGGGGCGGGGTGATGGAAAGCGGGAGAACGGGGCGGGGTGATGGAAAGCGGGAGAACGGGGCGGGGTGATGGAAAGCGGGAGAATGGGGCGGGGTGATGGAACGCGGGAGAATCGGGCGGGGTGATGGAAAGCGGGAGAATCGGGCGGGGTGATGGAAAGCGGGAGAATGGGGCGGGGTGATGGAAAGCGGGGGAATGGGGCGGGGTGATGGAAAGCGGGAGAATGGGCAGGGGTGATGGAAAGCGGGAGAATGGGGCGGGGTGATGGAAAGCGGAAAAATGGGGCGGGGTGATGGAAAGAGGGAGAATAGGGCGGGGTGATGGAAAGAGGGAAAATGGGGCGGGGTGATGGAGAGCGGGAGAATGGGGCGGGGTGATGGAAAGCGGGAGAAAGGGGCGGGGTGATGGAAAGCAGGAGAATGGGGCCGGGTGATGGAAAGCGGGAGAATGGGGCGGGGTGATGGAAAGCGGGAGAATTGGGCGGGGTGATGGAAAGCGGGAGAATGGGGCGGGGTGATGGAAAGCGAGAGAACGGGGCGGGGTGGTGGAAAGCGGGAGAACGGGGCGGGGTGATGGAAAGCGGGAGAATGGGGCGGGGTGATGGAAAGCGGGAGAATGGGGCGGGGCGATGGAAAGCGGGAGAATGGGGCGGGGTGATGGAAAGCGGGAGAATGGGGCGGGGTGATGGAAAGCGGGAGAAAGGGGCGGGGTGATGGAAAGCGGGAGAACGGGGCGGGGTGATGGAAAGCGGGAGAATGGGGCGGGGTGATGGAAAGCGGGAGAACGGGGCGGGGTGATGGAAAGCGGGAGAACGGGGCGGGGTGATGGAAAGCGGGAGAATGGGGCGGGGTGATGGAAAGCGGGAGAATGGGGCGGGGTGATGGAAAGCGGGAGAATGGGGTGGGGTGATGGAAAGCGGGAGAATGGGGCGGGGTGATGGAAAGCGGGAGAATGGGGCAGGGTGATGGAAAGCGGGAAAATGGGGCGGGGTGATGGAAAGAGGGAGAATAGGGCGGGGTGATGGAAAGAGGGAAAATGGGGCGGGGTGATGGAAAGCGGGAGAATGGGGCGGGGTGATGGAAAGCGGGAGAATGGGGCGGGGTGATGGAAAGCGGGAGAATGGGCCGGGGTGATGGAAAGAAAGAGAATAAGGCGGGGTGATGGAAAGTGGGAGAATGGGGCGTGGTGATGGAAAGAGGGAGAATGGGGTCTGGTGATGGAAAGAGGGAAAATGGGGCTGTGTGATGGAAAGCGGGAGAATGGGGCTGGGTGATGGAAAGTGGGAGAATCGGGCGGGGTGATAGAAAGAGGGAGAATGGGGAGGGGTGATGGAAAGAGGGAGAATGGGGCTGGGTGATGGAAAGAGGGAGAATGGGGCTGGGCGATGGAAAGAGGGAGAATGGGGCGGTGTGATGGAAAGCGGGAGAATGGGGCGGGGTGATGGAAAGAGGGAGAATGGGGAGGGGTGATGGAAAGAGGGAGAATGGGGCGGGGTGATGGAAAGCGGGAGAATGGGGCGCTGTGATGGAAAGAGTGAGAATGGGGCGGGGTGATGGAAAGCGGGAGAATGGGGCGGGGTGATGGAAAGCGGGAGAATTGGGCGGGGTGATGGAAAGAGGGAGAATAGGGCGGGGTGATGGAAAGAGAGAGAATGGGGCGGGGTGACGGAAAGCGGGAGAATGGGGCGGGGTGATGGAAAGCGGGAGAATGGGGCGGGGAGATGGAAAGCGGGAGAATGGGGCGGGGTGATGGAAAGCGGGAGAATGGGGCGGGGTGATGGAAAGAGGGAGAATGGGGAGGGGTGATGGAAAGAGGGAGAATGGGGCGGGGTGGTGGAAAGCGGGAGAATGGGTGATGGAAAGAGGGAGAATGGGGCGGGGTGATGGAAAGCGGGAGAACGGGGCGGGGTGATGGAAAGAGGGAGAATGGGGCAGGGTGATGGAAAGAGGGTTAAAAATGGCCTGGGTGATGGAAAGAGGGAGAATAGGGCGGGGTGATGGAAATCGGGAGATCGGAGCGGGGTGATGGAAAGCGGGAGAATGGGGCGGGGTGATGGAAAGAGGGAGAAATGGGCTGGGTGATGGAAAGAGGGAGAACAGGGCGGGGTGATGGAAAGAGGGAGAATGGGGCGGGGTGATGGAAAGAGGGAGAAACGGGCCGGGTGATGGAAAGAGGGAGAATAGGGCGGGGTGATGGAAAGCGGGAGAACGGGGCGGGTGATGGAAAGCGGGAGAATGGGGCGGGGTGATGGAAAGCGGGAGAATGGGGCGGGGTGATGGAAAGCGGGAGAATGGGGCGGGGTGATGGAAAGCGGGAGAATGGAGCGGGGTGATGGAAAACGGGAGAATGGGGCGGGTTGATGGAAAGCGGGAGAATGGGGCGGGGTGATGGAAAGCGGGAGAACGGGGCGGGGTGATAGAAAACGGGAGAATGGGGTGGGGTGATGGAAAGCGGGAGAATGGGGCGGGGTGATGGAAAGCGGGAGAAAGGGGCGGGGTGATGGAAAGCGGGAGAATGGGGCGGGGTGATGGAAAGCGGGAGAATGGGGCGGGGTGATGGAAAGCGGGAGAATGGGGCGGGGTGATGGAAAGCGGGAGAATGGGGCGGGGTGATGGAAAGCGGGAGAATGGGGCGGGGTGATGGAAAGCGGGAGAACGGGGCGGGGTGACGGAAAGCGGGAGAATGGGGCGGGGTGATGGAAAGCGGGAGAATGGGGCGGGGTGATGGAAAGCGGGAGAATGGGGCGGGGTGATGGAAAGCGGGTGAATGGGGCGGGGTGATTGAAAGAGGGAGAATGGGGCTGGGTGATGGAAAGCGGGAGAATGGTGCGGAGATAACTATTGCAACGGGAGCTAGACTACGGGCTAGGCACGGGGCAAGAGTGATCGTAGCGTTCGTTCGTTCCTTAGTCGTTTCCAAGTGATAATACTGCTTGCTAGTTCACGGGGAAAATCGGCAAGAGTTTCACTAGGAAAACATAACAACAAAAGTTCATAATTGATTTCAGCAACATTGGCAACAATGACTACATCAGACCTAGCAAGGCTGCTGGTCCACTGCCAGCGCAGCACGGTCGACCGCGTGCCAGCACGACTTGGTCGACCGCGCTCCAGCAGAGCAGAGTCGCGGCCTGCCAACGTTGCAAGTCCGCGGTGCGCCAACGCTGCAGTATGTCGGCTGCACAGCGTCGCATCCGCGGGACAACGGTGCACCAGCTTCGCAGGTGCGTGCAGCTGGTTGGCGCCCAACTCCCCGTCACTTGCCCAGCGCAGACACTTCACCCGTGACGGCGCCCACCAGCCACGTCGACCTCGGGATACCACCCCCGAGGTCGTCCTCGCAGACAACATCCCCGGCGACTTTCGCGCACGTCGCCCGGGTATCCTGGTTGACCGGGTATTTCGCGGTCCTCCCGCGGTTTCTCGGCCACCGCGGTCCTCCACTGCGATTTCGTGGCTCCCACGGGCCACTGCGATTTCGTGGCTCCCACGGGCCACTGCGATTTCGTGGCTCCCACGGGCCACTGCGATTTCGTGGCTGCCACGGGCCACTGCGATTTCGTGGCTCCCACGGTCGGCTCCGCCCAAGCGAGGACGGGGCCAAACACAACTCCCGTTGACACTCCCCTGCCGCGTTCACGCTTGGCCCCCCCCCCCCCGGCCCACACGGCAGTACTGTTCGGAGAATAGCCCATCGGCGTGCACACAACACACAGCACGCCGGTCACCGCACCAGCCATGCAAAAGGGCATGGCACCTACTGCTGCATGTCGTTGTCACCGTCGCCCACATCGGCCAGGCGCACTTGGCCGATTGCAACGGAGCACCGGTTGAAGGCCGGGTAGTGCAGCGCCTTCGTCAGGAAGTCGGCCGGCTGCTCAGCGGTCGGGATGCACTTCAGCGAAAACTTCCCGCGCTTCACCATGTGCTGCAGCCAGGCCTGTCGCCGTTCCATGTGCTTGAGGTTGCCCGTTAACCCCATGCCCTCGCCGACCGTGATGGCCGACTTGTTGTCCACCCTGAGGACAGTCGGCTTTTCGGCGTCCAGCCGCTGGAACTCCGCGAGGAGGAAACGAAGGCGACGTCCCTCCTTGCCGGCTTCGACGGCCGCCACGTACTCCGACTCGGTCGACGACAGCGTCGCGCACTTGATGCGCTGGCTCGACCAGGAGACCGCGGACCCTCCGTAGACGAACACGTAGCCGCCCGTGCTCATCCGGTTCTGCTTGTCGCCCGCGTCGTCGGCGTCCACGAAGCCGACCAACTCCAGTGACTCCGGACCACCGCCGTACTCCAGGGCGGTGTCTCGCGTGTTGGCGAGGTAGGCGAGGCAGCGGTCGACTTTGCGCCAGTGCTGGTCGCTCCTCACCATGACGCCGCTCCCCAGCTTGCTGCACGCGAATGCGATGTCCGGCCTCGTCGTCGTCGCCGCGAACTGCAGCGAGCCAACCTTCTGCCGGTACTCCTCCTCCTCGTGCTCCTGCGCTTCCTCGTCGTCGAATGTCTGCTCCGCGTAGGCGGCGACGGAGACCGGCGTCTTCGGAGTGCGCCCGGTCTGTTCCTCGTCGATGAAGCGCCTGCGCAGCTTGTCGGCGTAGCCCTGCTGGTGCAGCCACAATTTTCGCGCCGGCCTGTCGCGCACGATCTCCAGGCCGAGATACTTCTGCACCGGCGAAATTTCGCGCAGCTCGAAAGCGGCCTCCAGCAGCTCCTTCAGCTCCTTCAGCATCGCGGTGCTGCTGCTCGCGGCGAGAAGGTCGTCGACGTAGACCAGCACCCAGCAGGTCACCTTGTCGTCGCCGGCCTTGAAGTACAGAGCCTCATCGACTTGGCTCTTCTTCCACCCGGCGCCAACCAACACGTCGTTGAGAGCCGTGTACCACAGCAGCGGCGACTGCTTCAGCTCGTAGAGGCTCTTCAGCAGCTTGCATACCCGGCCGGTCCCGTCGTTGAAGTAGTCCGGCTGGTACATGTACAGCACGCGATCGAGCTTGCTCTGCAAAAAAGCGTTCTTCATGTCCAGCTGCATCAGGTTGAGGTCGAGGACGGCGACGATGCTGAGGAAAATCCTCAGCGTGACGTAGCTGCTCACCGGCGCGTACGTCTCGTCGTATTCAGCGCCATACACCTGCGTGAAGCCTTTCACGACCAGCCTCGCCTTTTCGCGCTCGACAGTGTAGTCGATGCGGTACTTCGTTGTCAGCACCCACCGGTTCTTCATTATGTTCACCCCCGGCGGGCGTTCGACCAGCTCCCAAGTGCCCATGTTGATGAGGCTACGAATCTCTTCCTCCATGGCGGCCTTCACCGCCGGGCCCTTCCAGCTCGCCAACGCCTCCTTCACCGTCATGGTCGAAATGTCCCAACGGTGCTCGGGATCGGCGTGCATGTCGGGGTCGAGCTCCGAAAACGCCTCATCGTCCTCGGCGTCATCGTACACCAGGTCGTCGTCGTCCACGTCGTACACCGTGGTGAAGGCAGCAGGGACGAAAAAATCGGGTGGCCTCCGAATTCGGCCCGACTTCCGAGGTCCGGGCTGCACCTCCACCACGTCACTCGATGTGCCTTCATCGAACTGCTCCCCTGTCGTCCGCTCCTCTGAAGCGAGCTCCGCGTTCGACGGCTCCCCTGGCAACGGCTTCTCTGAAACGCGCTTCCCGTTCGAAAGCTCCCCTGCCAACTGCTCCGCGGTTTCCTCCGTGGGCTTCTTCGCGGTCTCCTCCGCGATCTCCTCCGCGGTCTCGTCCGCGGTCTCGTCCGCGGTCTCGTCCGCGGTCTCGTCCGCGGTCTCGTCCGCGGTCTCCTTCGCGGTTTTCGCGGTGTCCTCCGCGGTGCCCTTCGCGGTGCCCGTCGCGGTTTTCTTCGCGGTCTCCTCCACGGTCCTCTTCTCCGCGATTGGCTGGGCGTCACGTCGGCCACCGGCGATGCTCTTGGCTGGCGCCACAGGCGACGCCCCACGACTCCCCTCATCGCCGGAGGCCGACACTGGAGGCAGGCCACGCAGTTCGACGGGAAGGGAATGGGAAGAAGGGGCAGGGGATGGCGAGGCAGGGGCGACCGCGACATCCTCATCAGCCTGCTCACCGACCTCGGCGAGCAGAGGAAGCGTCGCCGTGGAGGTGTCGGTCGGCGGGTTGGCCCGCGTCCGTCCCGACGCGGGCCCGAATTCCAACTTCCACACCTCCAGCGACAGAGTTTCGTAGAACACCACGTCCGACGTGGTGACCACCCGGTTGTCGGCGATGTCAAGGAGCTCCCAGCCTTTGCTCTCCTCCGACACGCCGAGGTGAAGGCCCCACCGGGCCTTCGGCTTCAGCTTCCCACCGCGCTGCTGCTCAGGGACGAGAAATTGTGCCATGCAGCCCCACACCCGCGCCAGTGACAGGTCGGGCTTCTGCCCGGTGAGAAGCTGGTACGGCGTCGTCCCCGCGGGCAGCGTCGACCGCTCCAGGCAGTTGCGAACCCAGACGGCCTGCCGCAGAGCGAGATGCCACCAGTGGTGCTGCACGCCCATGTGCAGCAGCATCGTCCGCACCGACTCCACCTCCGTCCTCATCTCCCGCTCCGCCATGCCATTCTGCTGCGGGGTGTAAGGGCAGGTTAAGTCGTGAACGATTCCCTTGCTGTCCACGAAGGCAGTGAAGTCCTTTCCGAGGAACTCCCCTCCGCGATCAGAACGCAGTTGCAGCACCGAATGCTTCGCCTGCCGCTCCACCAGCACCAGCCACTTCTGGAACTCCAGCAGCACATCAGACTTCTTGGCGACCGGCCTCACCCACACATAGCGGGTCTTGCGGTCCTTCAGCAGCAAGAAGTATAGGCTGCCATCCTTGGCAGCCACGCGAAATGGCCCGCACAAATCGATGTGCACGACGGCCAGGACGTCGTCGGCTTCGGAGCCGTGGTCGGGGAAGGTGTGCCGCGCCAGCTTCCCGCCGACGCACGAAACACACGGTGAGTCGGCGCCAGACACCGACTTGAGGTCCAGCCCAGTGGCGACCTCGTGCTTCGCCGAGCTCCGGATGGTGTCCATGCCAACATGCGCCAGCCTCGCGTGTAGCCTGTCCGGGGTTGCTTTCGTCGCCGAGACGATCGCCCGCAGAGCTACCTCCTCTTTCGCGGGTGTCGTTGACTTCACCGCGCATGGGCGCAGGTCAGTGCAGAGGACCCGGCCTGGGAGAATGGGGACCCGGCCCAGAGGACCCGGCCTGGAAAGAGGGAGAATGGGGCTGGGTGATGGAAAGCGGGAGAATGAAGCTGGGTGATGGAAAGTGGGAGAATGGGGCGGGGTGATAGAAAGAGGGAGAATGGGGCTGGGTGATGGAAAGAGGGAGAATGGGGCTGGGCGATGGAAAGAGGGAGAATGGGGCGGTGTGATGGAAAGCGGGAGAATGGGGCGGGGTGATGGAAAGAGGGAGAATGGGGAGGGGTGATGGAAAGAGGGAGAATGGGGCGGGGTGATGGAAAGCGGGAGAATGGGGCGCTGTGATGGAAAGCGGGAGAATGGGGTGGGGTGATGGAAAGCGGGAGAATGGGGCAGGGTGATGGAAAGCGGGAGAATGGGGCGGGGTGATGGAAAGAGGGAGAATAGGGCGGGGTGATGAAAAGAGAGAGAATGGGGCGGGGTGATGGAAAGCGGGAGAATGGGGCGGGGTGATGGAAAGCGGGAGAATGGGGCGGGGAGATGGAAAGCGGGAGAATGGGGCGGGGTGATGGAAAGAGGGAGAATGGGGCGTGGTGATGGAAAGAGGGAGAATGGGGCGTGGTGATGGAAAGAGGGAGAATGTGGCGAGGTGATGGAAAGCGGGAGAATGGGGCTGGGTGATGGAAAGTGGGAGAATGGGGCGGGGTGATAGAAGGGGAGAACGGGGCTGGGTGATGGAAAGAGGGGGAATGGGGCTGGGTGATGGAAAGAGGGAGAATGGGGCGGGGTGATGGAAAGCGGGAGAATGGGGCGGGGTGATGGAAAGAGGGAGAATGGGGAGGGGTGATGGAAAGAGGGAGAATGGGGCGGGGTGGTGGAAAACGGGAGAATGGGTTATGGAAAGAGGGAGAATGGGGCGGGGTGATGGAAAGCGGGAGAACAGGGCGGGGTGATGGAAAGAGGGATAATGGGGCGGGGTGATGGAAACAGGGAGAAATGGGCTGGGTGATGGAAACAGGGAGAATAGGGCGGGGTGATGGAAAGAGGGAGAATGGGGCGGGGTGATGGAAAGCGGGAGAATGGGCGGGGTGATGGAAAGCAAGAGAATGGGGCGGGGTGATGGAAAGAGGGAGAATGGGGCGGGGTGATGGAAAGCGGGAGAATGGGGCGGGGTGAAGGAAAGCGGGTGAATGGGGCGGGGTGATGGAAAGAGGGAGAATGGGGCGGGGTGATGGAAAGCGGGAGAATGGGGCTGGGTGATGGAAAGCGGGAGAACGGGGCGGGTGATGGAAAGAGGGAGAATGGGGCAGGGTGATGGAAAGCGGGAGATCGGGGCGGGGTGATGGAAAGCGGGAGAATGGGGTGGGGTGATGGAAAGCGGGAGAACGGGTCGGGGTGATGGAAAGCGGGAGAATGGGGCGGGGTGATGGAAAGCGGGAGAACGGGGCGGGATGATGGAAAGCGGGAGAACGGGGCGGGGTGATGGAAAGCGGGAGAACGGGGCGGGGTGATGGAAAGAGGAAGAATAGGGCGGGGTGATGGAAAGAGGGAGAATGGGGCGCGATGATGGAAAGAGGGAGAAATGGGTTGGGTGATGGAAAGAGGGAGAATAGGACGGGGTGATGGAAAGCCGGAGAACAGGACGGGGTGATGGAAAGCGGGAGAACTGGGCGGGGTGATGGAAAGAGGGAGAATAGGGCGGGGTGATGGAAAGAGGGAGAATGGGGCGGGTGATGGAAAGAGGGAGAATAGAGCGGGGTGAAGGAAAGAGGGAGAATGGGGCGGGGTGATGGAAAGCGGGAGAATGGGGCGAGGTGATGGAAAGCAAGAGAATGAGGCGGGGTGATGGAAAGTGGGAGAATGGGGCGGGGTGATGGAAAGCGGGAGAATGGGGCGGGGTGATGGAAAGCAAGAAAATGGGGCGGGGTGATGGAAAGTGGGAGAATGGGGTGGGGTGATGGAAAGCGGGAGAATGGGGCGGGGTGATGGAAAGAGGGAGAATGGGGCGGGGTGATGGAATGCGGGAGAATGGGGCGGGGTGATGGAAAGTGGGAGATTGGGGGGGGGTGATAGAAAGCGGGAGAATGGGGCGGGGTAATGGAATGCGGGAGAATGGGGCTGGGTGATGGAAAGAGGGAGAATGGGGCGGGGTGATGAAAAGAGGGAGAATGGGGCGGGGTGATGGAAAAAGGGAAAACGGGGCGGGGTGATTGAAAGAGGGAGAATGGGGCGGGGTGATGGAAAGAGGGAGAACGGGGCGGGGTGATGGAAAGAGGGAGAACGGGGCGGTGTGATGGAAAGAGGGAGAACGGGGCCGGGTGATGGAAAGCGGGAGAATGGGGCGGGGTGATGGAAAGAGGGAGAATGGGGCGGGGAGATGGAAAGCGGGAGAATGGGGCGGGGTGATAGAAAGAGGGAGAATGGGGCTGGGTGATGGAAAGAGGGAGAATGGGGCTGGGTGATGGATAGCGGGAGAATGGGGCGGGGTGATGGAAAGCAGGAGAATGGGGCGGGGTGATGGAAAGCGGGAGAACGGGGCGGGGTGATGGAAAGCGGGAGAATGGGGCGGGGTGATGGAAAGCGGGAGAATGGGGTGAGGTGATGGAAAGAGGGAGAATGGGTCGGGGTGATGGAAAGCGGGAGAATGGGGCAGGGTGATGGAAAGCGGGAGAACGGGTCGGGGTGATGGAAAGCGGGACATCGGGGCGGGGTGATGGAAAGCGGGAGAATGGGGCGGGGTGATGGAAAGCGGGAGAACGGGGCGGGGTGATGGAAAGCGGGAGAACGGGTCGGGGTGATGGAAAGCGGGATAATGGGGCGGGGTGATGGAAAGCGGGAGAACGGGGCGGGGTGATGGAAAGTGGGAGAACGGGGCGGGGTGATGGAAAGCGGGAGAACGGGGCGGGATGATGGAAAGAGGGAGAATGGGGCTGGGTGATGGAAAGAGGGAGAATGGGGCGGGGAGATGGAAAGCGAGAGAATGGGGCAGGGTGATGGAAAGAGGGAGAATGGGGCTGGGTGATGGAAATCGGGAGAATGGGGCTGGGCGATGGAAAATGGGAGAACGGGGCGGGGCGAATGAAAGAGGGAGAGTGGGGCAGGGTGATGGAAAGAGGGAGAATGGGGCGGGGTCATGGAAAGTGGGAGAATGGGGCGGGGTGATGGAAAGTGGGAGAATGGGGCGGGGTGATGGAAAGAGGGAGAATGGGGAGGGGTGATCGAAAGAGGGAGAATGGGGCGGGGTGGTGGAAAGCGGGAGAATGGGTGATGGAAAGAGGGAGAATGGGGCGGGGTGATGGAAAGTGGGAGAACGGGGCGGGGTGATGGAAAGAGGGAGAATAGGGCGGGGTGACGTAAAGAGGGAGAATGGGGCGGGGTGATGGAAAGAGGGAGAAATGAGCCGGGTGATGGAAAGAGGGAGAATAGGGCGGGGTGATGGAAAGAGGGAGAATGGGGCGGGGTGATGGAAAGAGGGAGAAATGGGCTGGGTGATGGAAAGAGGGAGAATAGGGCGGGGTGATGGAAAGAGGGAGAATGGGGCAGGATGATGGAAAGCGGGAGAATGGGCGGGGTGATGGAAAGCAAGAGAATGGGGCGGGGTGATGGAAAGATGGAGAATAGGGGGGGGTGATGGAAAGCGGGAGAACGGGGCGGGTGATGGATAGAGGGAGAATAGGGCGGGGTGATGGAAAGCGGGAGAACGGGGCGGGGTGATGGACAGCGGGAGAACGGGGCGGGGTGATGGAAAGCGGGAGAACGGGGCGGGGTGATGGAAAGTGGGAGAATGGGGCGGGGTGATGGAAAGAGGGAGAAATGGGGTGATGGAAAGAGGGAGAATAGGGCGGGGTGATGGAAAGCGGGAGAATGGGGCGGGGTGATGGAAAACGGTAGAATGGGGCGGGGTGATGGAAAGCGGGAGAATGGGGCGGGGTGATGGAAAACGGTAGAATGGGGTGGGGTGATGGAAAGCGGGAGAATGGGGCCGGGTGATGGAAAGAGGGAGAATGGGGCGGGGTGATGGAAAGAGGGAGAAATGGGGTGATGGAAAGAGGGAGAATAGGGCGGGGTGATGGAAAGAGGGAGAATGGGGCGAGGTGATGGAAAGAGGGAGAAATGGGCCGGGTGATGGATAGAGGGAGAATAGGGCAGGGTGATGGAAAGCGGGAGAACGGGGCGGGTGATGGAAAGAGGGAGAACGGGGCGGGCTGATGGAAAGCGGGAGAACAGGGCGGGGTGATGGAAAGCGGGAGAACAGGGCGGGGTGATGGAAAGAGGGAGAATGGGGCGGGTGATGGAAAGAGGGAGAATAGAGCGGGGTGAAGGAAAGAGGGAGAATGGGGCGGGGTGATGGAAAGCGGGAGAATGGGGCGAGGTGATGGAAAGCAAGAGAATGAGGCGGGGTGATGGAAAGTGGGAGAATGGGGCGGGGTGATGGAAAGCGGGAGAATGGGGCGGGGTGATGGAAAGCAAGAAAATGGGGCGGGGTGATGGAAAGTGGGAGAATGGGGTGGGGTGATGGAAAGCGGGAGAATGGGGCGGGGTGATGGAAAGAGGGAGAATGGGGCGGGGTGATGGAATGCGGGAGAATGGGGCGGGGTGATGGAAAGTGGGAGATTGGGGGGGGGTGATAGAAAGCGGGAGAATGGGGCGGGGTAATGGAATGCGGGAGAATGGGGCTGGGTGATGGAAAGAGGGAGAATGGGGCGGGGTGATGAAAAGAGGGAGAATGGGGCGGGGTGATGGAAAAAGGGAAAACGGGGCGGGGTGATTGAAAGAGGGAGAATGGGGCGGGGTGATGGAAAGAGGGAGAACGGGGCGGGGTGATGGAAAGAGGGAGAACGGGGCGGTGTGATGGAAAGAGGGAGAACGGGGCCGGGTGATGGAAAGCGGGAGAATGGGGCGGGGTGATGGAAAGAGGGAGAATGGGGCGGGGAGATGGAAAGCGGGAGAATGGGGCGGGGTGATAGAAAGAGGGAGAATGGGGCTGGGTGATGGAAAGAGGGAGAATGGGGCTGGGTGATGGATAGCGGGAGAATGGGGCGGGGTGATGGAAAGCAGGAGAATGGGGCGGGGTGATGGAAAGCGGGAGAACGGGGCGGGGTGATGGAAAGCGGGAGAATGGGGCGGGGTGATGGAAAGCGGGAGAATGGGGTGAGGTGATGGAAAGAGGGAGAATGGGTCGGGGTGATGGAAAGCGGGAGAATGGGGCAGGGTGATGGAAAGCGGGAGAACGGGTCGGGGTGATGGAAAGCGGGACATCGGGGCGGGGTGATGGAAAGCGGGAGAATGGGGCGGGGTGATGGAAAGCGGGAGAACGGGGCGGGGTGATGGAAAGCGGGAGAACGGGTCGGGGTGATGGAAAGCGGGATAATGGGGCGGGGTGATGGAAAGCGGGAGAACGGGGCGGGGTGATGGAAAGTGGGAGAACGGGGCGGGGTGATGGAAAGCGGGAGAACGGGGCGGGATGATGGAAAGAGGGAGAATGGGGCTGGGTGATGGAAAGAGGGAGAATGGGGCGGGGAGATGGAAAGCGAGAGAATGGGGCAGGGTGATGGAAAGAGGGAGAATGGGGCTGGGTGATGGAAATCGGGAGAATGGGGCTGGGCGATGGAAAATGGGAGAACGGGGCGGGGCGAATGAAAGAGGGAGAGTGGGGCGGGGTGATGGAAAGAGGGAGAATGGGGCGGGGTCATGGAAAGTGGGAGAATGGGGCGGGGTGATGGAAAGTGGGAGAATGGGGCGGGGTGATGGAAAGAGGGAGAATGGGGAGGGGTGATCGAAAGAGGGAGAATGGGGCGGGGTGGTGGAAAGCGGGAGAATGGGTGATGGAAAGAGGGAGAATGGGGCGGGGTGATGGAAAGTGGGAGAACGGGGCGGGGTGATGGAAAGAGGGAGAATAGGGCGGGGTGACGTAAAGAGGGAGAATGGGGCGGGGTGATGGAAAGAGGGAGAAATGAGCCGGGTGATGGAAAGAGGGAGAATAGGGCGGGGTGATGGAAAGAGGGAGAATGGGGCGGGGTGATGGAAAGAGGGAGAAATGGGCTGGGTGATGGAAAGAGGGAGAATAGGGCGGGGTGATGGAAAGAGGGAGAATGGGGCAGGATGATGGAAAGCGGGAGAATGGGCGGGGTGATGGAAAGCAAGAGAATGGGGCGGGGTGATGGAAAGATGGAGAATAGGGGGGGGTGATGGAAAGCGGGAGAACGGGGCGGGTGATGGATAGAGGGAGAATAGGGCGGGGTGATGGAAAGCGGGAGAACGGGGCGGGGTGATGGACAGCGGGAGAACGGGGCGGGGTGATGGAAAGCGGGAGAACGGGGCGGGGTGATGGAAAGCGGGAGAATGGGGCGGGGTGATGGAAAGAGGGAGAAATGGGGTGATGGAAAGAGGGAGAATAGGGCGGGGTGATGGAAAGCGGGAGAATGGGGCGGGGTGATGGAAAACGGTAGAATGGGGCGGGGTGATGGAAAGCGGGAGAATGGGGCGGGGTGATGGAAAACGGTAGAATGGGGTGGGGTGATGGAAAGCGGGAGAATGGGGCCGGGTGATGGAAAGAGGGAGAATGGGGCGGGGTGATGGAAAGAGGGAGAAATGGGGTGATGGAAAGAGGGAGAATAGGGCGGGGTGATGGAAAGAGGGAGAATGGGGCGAGGTGATGGAAAGAGGGAGAAATGGGCCGGGTGATGGATAGAGGGAGAATAGGGCAGGGTGATGGAAAGCGGGAGAACGGGGCGGGTGATGGAAAGAGGGAGAACGGGGCGGGCTGATGGAAAGCGGGAGAACAGGGCGGGGTGATGGAAAGCGGGAGAACAGGGCGGGGTGATGGAAAGAGGGAGAATGGGGCGGGTGATGGAAAGAGGGAGAATAGAGCGGGGTGAAGGAAAGAGGGAGAATGGGGCGGGGTGATGGAAAGCGGGAGAATGGGGCGAGGTGATGGAAAGCAAGAGAATGAGGCGGGGTGATGGAAAGTGGGAGAATGGGGCGGGGTGATGGAAAGCGGGAGAATGGGGCGGGGTGATGGAAAGCAAGAAAATGGGGCGGGGTGATGGAAAGTGGGAGAATGGGGTGGGGTGATGGAAAGCGGGAGAATGGGGCGGGGTGATGGAAAGAGGGAGAATGGGGCGGGGTGATGGAATGCGGGAGAATGGGGCGGGGTGATGGAAAGTGGGAGATTGGGGGGGGGTGATAGAAAGCGGGAGAATGGGGCGGGGTAATGGAATGCGGGAGAATGGGGCTGGGTGATGGAAAGAGGGAGAATGGGGCGGGGTGATGAAAAGAGGGAGAATGGGGCGGGGTGATGGAAAAAGGGAAAACGGGGCGGGGTGATTGAAAGAGGGAGAATGGGGCGGGGTGATGGAAAGAGGGAGAACGGGGCGGGGTGATGGAAAGAGGGAGAACGGGGCGGTGTGATGGAAAGAGGGAGAACGGGGCCGGGTGATGGAAAGCGGGAGAATGGGGCGGGGTGATGGAAAGAGGGAGAATGGGGCGGGGAGATGGAAAGCGGGAGAATGGGGCGGGGTGATAGAAAGAGGGAGAATGGTGCTGGGTGATGGAAAGAGGGAGAATGGGGCTGGGTGATGGATAGCGGGAGAATGGGGCGGGGTGATGGAAAGCAGGAGAATGGGGCGGGGTGATGGAAAGCGGGAGAACGGGGCGGGGTGATGGAAAGCGGGAGAATGGGGCGGGGTGATGGAAAGCGGGAGAATGGGGTGAGGTGATGGAAAGAGGGAGAATGGGTCGGGGTGATGGAAAGCGGGAGAATGGGGCAGGGTGATGGAAAGCGGGAGAACGGGTCGGGGTGATGGAAAGCGGGACATCGGGGCGGGGTGATGGAAAGCGGGAGAATGGGGCGGGGTGATGGAAAGCGGGAGAACGGGGCGGGGTGATGGAAAGCGGGAGAACGGGTCGGGGTGATGGAAAGCGGGATAATGGGGCGGGGTGATGGAAAGCGGGAGAACGGGGCGGGATGATGGAAAGAGGGAGAATGGGGCTGGGTGATGGAAAGAGGGAGAATGGGGCGGGGAGATGGAAAGCGAGAGAATGGGGCAGGGTGATGGAAAGAGGGAGAATGGGGCTGGGTGATGGAAATCGGGAGAATGGGGCTGGGCGATGGAAAATGGGAGAACGGGGCGGGGCGAATGAAAGAGGGAGAGTGGGGCGGGGTGATGGAAAGAGGGAGAATGGGGCGGGGTCATGGAAAGTGGGAGAATGGGGCGGGGTGATGGAAAGTGGGAGAATGGGGCGGGGTGATGGAAAGAGGGAGAATTGGGAGGGGTGATCGAAAGAGGGAGAATGGGGCGGGGTGGTGGAAAGCGGGAGAATGGGTGATGGAAAGAGGGAGAATGGGGCGGGGTGATGGAAAGCGGGAGAACGGGGCGGGGTGATGGAAAGAGGGAGAATAGGGCGGGGTGACGTAAAGAGGGAGAATGGGGCGGGGTGATGGAAAGAGGGAGAAATGAGCCGGGTGATGGAAAGAGGGAGAATAGGGCGGGGTGATGGAAAGAGGGAGAATGGGGCGGGGTGATGGAAAGAGGGAGAAATGGGCTGGGTGATGGAAAGAGGGAGAATAGGGCGGGGTGATGGAAAGAGGGAGAATGGGGCAGGATGATGGAAAGCGGGAGAATGGGCGGGGTGATGGAAAGCAAGAGAATGGGGCGGGGTGATGGAAAGATGGAGAATAGGGGGGGGTGATGGAAAGCGGGAGAACGGGGCGGGTGATGGATAGAGGGAGAATAGGGCGGGGTGATGGAAAGCGGGAGAACGGGGCGGGGTGATGGACAGCGGGAGAACGGGGCGGGGTGATGGAAAGCGGGAGAACGGGGCGGGGTGATGGAAAGCGGGAGAATGGGGCGGGGTGATGGAAAGAGGGAGAAATGGGGTGATGGAAAGAGGGAGAATAGGGCGGGGTGATGGAAAGCGGGAGAATGGGGCGGGGTGATGGAAAACGGTAGAATGGGGCGGGGTGATGGAAAGCGGGAGAATGGGGCGGGGTGATGGAAAACGGTAGAATGGGGTGGGGTGATGGAAAGCGGGAGAATGGGGCCGGGTGATGGAAAGAGGGAGAATGGGGCGGGGTGATGGAAAGAGGGAGAAATGGGGTGATGGAAAGAGGGAGAATAGGGCGGGGTGATGGAAAGAGGGAGAATGGGGCGAGGTGATGGAAAGAGGGAGAAATGGGCCGGGTGATGGATAGAGGGAGAATAGGGCGGGGTGATGGAAAGCGGGAGAACGGGGCGGGTGATGGAAAGAGGGAGAACGGGGCGGGCTGATGGAAAGCGGGAGAACAGGGCGGGGTGATGGAAAGCGGGAGAACAGGGCGGGGTGATGGAAAGCGGGAGAACTGAGCGGGGTGTTGGAAAGAGGGAGAATAGGGCGGGGTGATGGAAAGAAGGAGAATGGGGCGGGGTGATGGAAATAGGGAGAATAGGGCGGGGTGATGGAAAGAGGGAAAATGGGGCGGGGTGATGGAAAGCGGGAGAATGGGGCGGGGTGATGGAAAGAGGGAGAATGGGGCGGGGTGATGGAAAGCGGGAAAATGGGGCGGGGTGATGGAAAGCGGGAGAATGGGGCGGGGTGATGGAAAGCAAGAGAATGGGGCGGGGTGATGGAAAGTGGGAGAATGGGGCGGGGTGATGGAAAGCGGGAGAATGGGGCGGGGTGATGGAAAGAGGGAGAATGGGGCGGGTTGATGGAAAGCGGGAGAATGGGGCGGGGTGATGGAAAGTGGGAGATTGGGGCGGGGTGATGGAAAGCGGGAGAATGGGGCGGGGTGATGGAAAGCGGGAGAATGGGGCGGGGTGATGAAAAGAGGGAGAATGGGGGGGGGTGATATAAAAAGGGAGAACGGGGCGGGGTGATGGAAAGAGGGAGAACGGGGCAGGGTGATGGAAAGAGGAAGAACGGGGCGGGGTGATGGAAAGAGGGAGAACGGGGCCAGGTGATGGAAAGCGGGAGAATGGGGCAGGGTGATGGAAAGAGGGAGAATGGGGCCGGGAGATGGAAAGTGGGAGAATGGGGCGGGGTGATGGAAAGAGGGAGAATAGGGCTGGGTGATGGAAAGAGGGAGAATAGGGCTGGGTGATGGAAAGAGGGAGAATGGGGCTGGGTGATGGAAAGCAGGAGAACGGGGCGGTGTGATGGAAAGCGGGAGAATGGGGCGGGGTGATGGAAAGCAGGAGAATGGGGCGAGGTGATGGAAAGAGGGAAAATGGGGCGGGTGATGGAAAGCGGGAGAATGGGGCGGGGTGATGGAAAGCGGGAGAATGGGGTGGGGTGATGGAAAGCGGGAGAATGGGGCGGGGTGATGGAAAGCGGGAGAATGGGGTGGGGTGATGGAAAGAGGGAGAATGGGGCGGGGGGATGGAAAGTGGGAGAATGGGGCGGGGTGATGGAAAGCGGGTGAATGGGGCGGGGTGATGGAAAGAGGGAGAATGGGGCGGGGTGATGGAAAGCGGGAGAATGGGGCTGGGTGATGGAAATCGGGAGAACGGGGCGGAGTGATGGAAAGAGGGAGAATGGGGCAGGGTGATGGAAAGCGGGAGATTGGGGCGGGTTGATGGAAAGCGGGAGAATTGGGTGGGGTGATGGAAAGCGGGAGAACGGGGCGGGGTGATGGAAAGCGGGAGAACGGGTCGGGGTGATGGAAAGCGGGAGAATGGGGCGGGGTGATGGAAAGCGGGAGAACGGGGCGGGATTATGGAAAGCGGGAGAACGGGGCGGGGTGATGGAAAGCGGGAGAATGGGGCGCGATGATGGAAAGAGGGAGAAATGGGTTGGGTGATGGAAAGAGGGAGAATAGGGCGGGGTGATGGAAAGAGGGAGAATGGGGTGGGGTGATGGAAAGCGGGAGAATGGGGCGGGGTGATGGAAATCGAGAGAATGGGGCGGGGTGATGGAAAGCAAGAATAGCACGCTCTGCTGCGTTGCTAGCACGCTCTGCTGCGTTGCTAGCATGCTCTGCTGCGTTGCTAGCACGCTCTGCTGCGTTGCTAGCATTATGTATGTTTATAGAGATGCAGTTAGTACCATTTTCTTGCCAGTTCACTAGATTAGGACATCTACTTTAACAATACTAGGTTCTAGCCTTTTGGATCCACATAATTTGCAAGATTTCAGAGCTCCAGCTCCGCCTTGTACCTGCACACAAGCGTGCATACTGACCGAACTGACCCACGCATCATTCTCTCTGTATAGATATAGTGAATACCACATATGTTTCGCATTTCCTTTACATTATACCATTCCCCACCCCTCTACCAGGTTCTAACCTTTTGGATCTATGTAATTTGCCAAATATAGGCATTCCAGTCGTGCATGGTAACTGCACTACAGGCACGCATACTGACCAAACTGACCAGCGCATTACGTATGTTTATAGAGATGCAGTTAGTACCATTTTCTTGCCAGTCCACTAGATTAGGACATCTACTTTTAAAATACTAGGTTCTGACCTTTTAGATCCACATAATTTGCAATATTTCAGAGCTTCAACTCCGCCTTGTACCTGCACACAAGCGTGCATACTACCCGAACCGACCCACGTATCATTCTCTCTGTATAGATACAGTTAATACCACATATGTTTCGCTCTTCCTTTACAGTATACCATTCCCCACCCCTCTCATAGGTTCTAACCTTTTGGATCTATGTAATTCGCTAAAAAAAAGCATTCTAGTCGTACATGGTACCAGCACAACAGGCACGCATACCGACCAAACTGACCAGCGCATTACGTATGTTTGTAGAGATGCAGTTAGTACCATTTTCTTGCCAGTCCACTAGATTAGGACATCTACTTTAACAATACTAGGTTCTAACCTTTTAGATCCACCTAATTTAAGATATTTTAGAGCTCATGCTCCGCCTTGTACCTGCACACAAACGTGCATACTACCCGAACCGATCCACGTATCATTTTCTCTGTATAAATACAGTTAATACCACATATGTTTCGCATTTCCTTTACAGTATACCATTCCACACCCCTCTAAAAGGCTCTAACATTTTGGATCTATGTAATTCGCCAAATATAGGCATTCCAGTCGTGCATGGTACCTGCACTATAGGCGCGCATACCGACCAACTTGACCAGCGCATTACGTATGTTTGTAGAGATGCGGTTAGTACCATTTTCTTGTCAATCTACTAGATTAGGCCATCTACTTTAACAGCACTAGGTTTTAGCCTTTTAGATCCACATAATTTGCAAGAGTTCAGAGCTCCACCTCCGCCTTGTACCTGCACACAAGCGTGCATACTACCCGAACCGGCTCACGCATCATTTTCTTTGTAGAAGTAGAGTGAATGCCACATTTTTCACTTTGACTTTACATTATACCATTTCCCACCCCTCTACCAGGTTCTAACCTTTTGGATCTATGTAATCCGTCAAAAATATGCATTCTAGTCGTGCATGGTACCTGCACTACAGGCGCGCATACCGACCAACTTGACCAATGCATTACGTATGTTTGTAGAGATGCGGTTAGTACCATTTTCTTGCCAGTCCACTAGATTAGGACATCTAATTTAACAACACTAGGTTCTAACCTTCAAGATCCACATAATTTGCAATATTTCAGAGCTCCAGCTCCGCCTTGTACCTGCACACAAGCGTGCATACAACCCGAACCGGCTCACGCATCATTTTCTCTGTATAGGTAGAGTGAATACTACATATGTTTCGCTCTTCCTTTACAGTATACCATTCCCCACCCCTCTACCAGGTTCTAACCTTTTGGATCTATGTAATTTGCCAAATATAGGCATTTCAGTCGTGCATGGTACCTGCACTACAGGCGCGCATACCGACCAACTTGATCTGCGCATTACGTATGTTTGTAGAGATGCGGTTAGTACCATTTTCTTGCCAGTCCACTATATTAGGACATCTACTTTAACAACACTAGGTTCTAACCTTTTAGATCCACATAATTTAAGATATTTCAGAGCTCCGGCTCCGCCTTGTACCTGCACACAAGCGTGCATACTGACCAAACTGACCCACGCATCATTCTCTCTGTATAGATATAGTGAATACCACATATGTTTCGCATTTCCTTTACATTGTACCATTCTCCACCCCTCTACTAGGTTCTTACCTTTTGTATCTATGTAATTTGCCAAATATAGGCATTTCAGTCGTGCATGGTACCTGCACAATAGGCACGCATTCCGACCAAATTGACCAGCGCATTACGTATGTTTATAGAGATGCAGTTAGTACCATTTTCTTGCCAGTTCACTAGATTAGGACATCTATTTTAACAATACTATGTTCTAGCCTTTTAGATCCACATAATTTGCAAGATTTCAGAGCTCCAGCTCCGCCTTGTACCTGCACACAAGCGTGCATACTGACCGAACTGACCCACGCATCATTCTCTCTGTATAGATACAGTTAATACCACATATGTTTCGCATTTTCTTTACATTATACCATTCCCCACCCCTATACCAGGTTCTAACCTTTTGGATCTATGTAATTTGCCAAGTATAGGCATTTCAGTCGTGCATGGTACCTGCACAATAGGCACGCATACCGACCAAACTGACCAGCGCATTACGTATGTTTATAGAGATGCAGATAGTACCATGTTCTTTCCAGTCCACTAGATTAGGACATCTACTTTAACAATACTAGGTTCTAACCTTTTAGATCCACAAAATTTATGATATTTCAGAGCTCCTGCTCCGCCTTGTACCTGCACACAAACGTGCATACTACCCGAACCGACCCACGTATCATTTTCTCTGTATAAACACAGTGAATACCACATATGTTTCGCTCTTCCTTTACAGTATACCATTCTCCACCCCTCTAATAGGTTCTAACCTTTTGGATCTATGTAATTCGCCAAAAAATAGGAATTCTAGTCGTGCATGGTACATGCACTACAGGCGCGCATACCGACCAACTTGACCAGCGCATTTCGTATGTTTGTAGAGATGCGGTTAGCACCATTTTCTTGTTAGTCCACTAGATTAGGCCATCTACTTTAACAACACTAGGTTCTAACCTTTTAGATCCACATAATTTGCAATATTTCAGAGCTCCAGATCCACCTTGTACCTGCACACAAACGTGCATACTACCCGAACCGACCCACGCATCATTCTCTCTGTATAAATATAGTGAATACCACATATGTTTCGCATTTCCTTTACAGTATACCATTCCACACCCCTCTAATAGGCTCTAACCTTTTGGATCTATGTAATTCGCCAAAAGTAGGCATTCTAGTCGTGCACGGTACATGCATAACAGGCGCGCATACCGACCAACTTGACCAGCGCATTACGTATGTTTGTAGAGTTGCGGTTAGTACCATTTTCTTGTCAGTCCACTAAATTATTCCATCTACTTTAACAACACAAGGTTCTAACCTTTTAGATCCACATAATTTGCAAGATCTCAGAGCTCCACCTCCGCCTTGAACCTGCACACAAGCGTGCATACTACCCGAACCGGCTCACGCATCATTTTCTTTGTAGAAGTATAGTGAATGTCACATATGTTTCGCTTTTTATTTACATTATACCATTTCCCACCCCTCTACCAGGTTCTAACCTTTTGGATCTATGTAATTCGCCAAAAATATGCATTCTAGTCGTGCGTGGTACCTGCACTACAGGCGTGCATACCGACCAACTTGACCAGCGCATTACGTATATTTGTAGAGATACGGCTAGTACCATTTTCTTGTCGGTCCACTAGATTGGGCCATCTACTTTAACAACACTAGGTTCTAACCTTTTATATCCACATAATTTGCAAGATTTCAGAGCTCCAGCTCCGCCTTGTACCTGCACACAAGCGTGTATACTGACCAAACTGACCCACGCATAATTCTCTTTGTATAGATACAGTGAATACCACATATATTTCGCATTTCCTTTACATTATACCATTCCCCACCCCACTACCAGGTTCTAACCTTTTGGATATATCTAATTTCCCAAAAAAAGGCATTTCAGTCGTGCATGGTACCTGCAGGCTCGCATACCGACCAACTTGACCAGCTCATTACGTATGTTTGTATAGATGCTGTTAGTACCATTTTCTTGTCAGTCCACTGGATTAGGCCATCTACTTTAACAACACTAGGTTCTAACCTTTTAGATCCACATAATTTGCAAGATTTTAGAGCTCCAGCTCCGCCTTGTACCTGCACACAAGCGTGCATACTACCCGAACTGGCTCACGCCTCATATGTTTCACTTTTCCTTTACATTATACCATTCCCCACCCCTCTACCAGGTTCTAACCTTTTGGATCTATGTAATTCCCCATTCTCCCTCTTTCTATCACCCCGTCCCATTCTCCCTGTTTCCATCACCCAGCCCCATTCTCCCGCTTTCCATCACCCCGCCCCATTCTGCCTCTTTCCATCACCCTGCCCCATTCTCCCTCTTTCCATCACCCCGCCCCATTCTCCCGCTTTCCATCACCCCGCCCCGTTCTCCCGTTTTTTATCACCCCGCCTCATTCTCCCTCTTTCCATCACCCAGCCCCATTCTCCCTCTTTCCACCCCGCCCCATTCTCCCGCTTTCCATCTCCCCGCCCCATTCTCCCTCATTCCATCACCTCGCCCCATTCTCCTGCTTTCCATCACTCCGCCCCGTCCCTCTTTCCATCACCCCGCACCATTCTCCCTCTTGCCATCACCCCGCCCCATCCTCCCTCTTTCCATCACCCCGCCCCATTCTCCCGCTTTCCATCACCCCGCCCCATTCTCCCGCTTTCCATCACCCCGCCCCATTTTCCCGCTTTCCATCACCCCGCCCCATTCTCTTGCTATCCATCACCCCGCCCCATTCTCCCGCTTTCCATCACCCAGTCCCATTCTCCCTCTTTCCATCACCCAGCCCATTTCTCCCTCTTTCCATCACCCCGCCCTATTCTCCCTCTTTCCATGACCCCGCCCTATTTTCCATCTTTCCATCACCCCGC